GCAGAAATGAGATCGAAGATGGCTTTCAGCCTGACACTGCTTCTTTGCAAAGCACTTATCTCATGCTGGTCTTTAGGGTTTATGGGAGAGCTTTTTTTTGGTTTAGTTGTAAGCGCGCTCATCGCAGCCAGAGTCTGGCTTTCCGGGCCGCATCTATTCTTGGCAGTGCGAGTAAATTTCCTGAGCACAGTTGCCTTCCTGCTTTGCAACGAGAGGTCAGTTTGCCTTCCGTTGCATCAGATAGTGACATGACATGACTTTCAACATGTTTCCGACTTGCAGGAAGGCTGCAAACACTGGCTGTTCTGGTGCTCGCCTTGCCTTATTTGACCAACCACTCCATCGTTTTCCTCGTTGCTGACGTGTTTGAGCCTCTCGTTCGTAGTGAATGACATGGGAAACATGCTTATGTGACAGCGCGACACCCTGTCGCAGGGAATTTGGGAGCTTAAGCAAGTTTAGTTCCTTTGACATACTGAAGGTACGTTATGGAAGCTTAAGCTTGCTTGGACATGTCAGTCACAGCCCTGTCAAATCGCCAACCCAGCCCGCAGCAGAGTGGGTGTTGGCCCGTTGTCTCTCTGACTCTGCGGGCGATTTTTAGGGCACACTGCATCTTGGGGTCTGTGAGGAGGATTTGCGGTCCTCTATCGGCCCAACCCCCGGTCTATCATGCGGCACATGCGGACTCTGCGGACACCGAGTATGCCACGCAAATTCAAGCTGGAACTTCTGGGGCGTTTGTATTTACTCGCTTGCGCGAAGGGAATATGGGAATGACCACCCTCACCCGAAATGTATCCTTGCAGGGATTTGTTGGTGGGGTTACTCCCATGTTCCCTACTCTCAACGAAGCAAGTTGAATCAAGTGCAGCATTTTGAGAGAAAAAGCAACCGAATGTTAGAGAGTTGGACGGGAATGAAGCCTCTGCCTTGAGAGCGGTGATCCTAGTGCTGCGTCGCGAAAGAGAAACCTTCAACAGGCACGGACCCCTGGGTGAGTCGCGCGGCTGACGTTGCTTCTCCCTTGGGGCAGCCTATCCGCAGTAGGTTGCGTGTGGGGCTTCCCCCACGCAGTGACACTAGATATTCCACTGAATCAAACCGATTGCGAAGCGAGCCTTCATTATTGCGATTCGTTTTGACGCAGAAAAACAAGAGTGAATGTGCAACTCATTTGGCTTTCAGCCGAATGCAGTTCGCCGTGTCTCGCTTTGCGCGCCGAGCCCAAGCCAAGCTTCACACGGGCTGGATCTGCCTGCATCCGGAATGGATTGGTGCGGACAGCTTTGCCGGGTTTGGTTCAACACCGTCCCGAGCCTGCGCCGCAGGCTGCGGAGGCTGTGCAGTGGACATACCTCTACAAAAGAGAAGAGGTGATCATCGCAGCCCCGGAGCGCTGGACCCCGATCATGGAGGTGCTCATGTCTCAGTGTGTTGAAGAAAGTGATGGGTTGTGCCTTTTTTGCATGGTTAAAGAACATAACCTTTTTTTGGTCCTGGGCCGGGGTCCAAGTTTCTTTAATTCACGCTTGATTTCGTGGGGCAAAAAGCGGCACAGGGCGCCGCGGTGATTGAGTCGGCCGCTCTCCGGCGTGATCTCACCTGGCAGGTGCCTGTGCCTTGTTTGCCCCAGTGCTGCAAGAAGCTGAAAGCTCGCAAGCGCCTCCCTTGCTCGAAAATGGGGAAACGTAATGAAATGGAGGTGGATATGGGTGTAAGTCGCTTTCTGAGAAGATTTCCAGAGGCCTTTTTCATGGCCAATTGCGAAGTGCTCAAGTCATGTCCGAGATACCTACACAACCCCGACGAGATCCCCATAGCATGTCTGCGTATGGGCAGTGAGGCCAGGGCCATGCATTTCGCTGGTCCTGCGCTCGCAGGGCAGGCGAGGCTTCCGATCCCGCCGCTTGGGTGCAAACTGAGAAGCCAAGTAGGTCGTAGGTCAGCCAAACCGTGCGACACGGTGATCTAGGCTTCAGCTACCCCCCAACGACTACTCCACTCAGAAAATTGTGGTGCCCCAGTATTCGGCATTTTTATGTTAAATATTTTTATACATTGGTTGTGCCCCTTGTGCCCCCCATTTCATCCTGGGGGGTAGTGGTTGGGGGGTAGTGGAAATCAGCACAGAGGTGAGGATGCCAGGCCATGAAGTCTGAAGTCCCTAAAGTCCCTGTCAGGTGGTGCAATGACTTTTTGAACTAACTGCTTGCAGCCGGCACGAGAGCGAAAGAGTCTAGAATCCCCCAGCTCGACTGTCCACCGCTTTGTTTGTTTGCAAGCCAAATGGCCGAGCTTGGGCTTACCAACCAGATACAGTATCATTGACATGTTTATGAGCGAAACGGCATTTGCGAGTATGTTGAATTGTAGCTGCGTTACTATCAGCTGGATGGGATGTTGACCCATGTATTCTGCGTGGTGTTTTCACGAGCGCCGCGTTGTTTCCTGAAGTAGTTTCCGGGCTCAAAGGATACACTTGCATCAGGGATAGACCCCATTTTGTGAGGTCGGGGCCGGAACAGCTCTAGCCGGGATCGTGAGATGAGAGACACGTGGACAAATTCAAGCCTGAGATTTGCTGATTCTTCTTGGCCTGTTGGGAATTCAAGGATACGATATGAGACGATCGGGGCGTTGGACTTTCATCTATGCCGAACACGGTCTCCACAGCATCTTCTGGATACGGGACCTGGTATCAGACACTCGCCCTATCCCACGTGGCAGGATGCGACTGCTCCGAGCCTGGGCCAACTCAACCAAACGCTGTGTCTCAAGCCTTTGGCTCACTCGCAAGCTTCAACTGGGGTTTGTAACCCACACGGGCATTCTGGGGATCGCGCCATCCTGGCCCTTTCGAGCTCCTCCAAGAGGGCCACCTTTCAGTTGATTCCCCGAGTTGGTTTCCTCTTGATTTGTCAAAGCGAAAGAAAGGGGGCTTTCCTAGACTGGATGAATCCCTGGGCAACCAGCAAGCAGCCAAAAGGTGGGGCTCAAGAGTTTGACACTCTGCAGGAACTGAAGTCCTACGCCAACTGTTGACTCGACATGGCAGCGCTTGTTTTTTTTGGTTGACTGCAGAATATGGGCAACTCATGGGATCAGAATATGCCTAAAATTTCAATAAGCCCCATCACCAGTGGTTGAGGGCATTAGTGTCCACCAAAAAGATGTCCAAAAGGTTCCATGTTTCTCATAGATTTCATTTGCGAGAAAGTAAAGGAACCGAAGCTGCGGGAATTAGGAAACACATGTGGGTCAAGAGTCAAAAGTCGAAGCTTGGCTTTGAAGTGCATGCGGAGATTTAACTAGCTTTAACACGCACAACGACCTCGACGGACATTGCTCAGGGTCCGGCCTATCAGGCTCGCAGTCGCCCCATGCCTTGGGCAATCGCGTAGCCTGGCAATTTCGCCTGCGGAAACATCGGAGCAGCTTTGGTGAGAATTGCTCATCCGATGCGCAGCCAGACTCACTTGTCGAAGTTACTTGAGTAGCGAACATCGGTTTTGGGTAGCCCCCTACCGGCCATACCGGTTTTCGGTGGTCTTGTCGGCGAGTCCTTTGAAAGAAGGACAGTTGTTGCACGGGATGGGTGCGTGAAGGTCCACAAGCCGACGTTTTTGGATTGTCAGCGCTGCTTGCCTTGAGAATGCATGCCTGGTCCAGTTTTGGCCAATCACTACCACACATGAGAGGTTGTTGGCAGCTCGGGTCTACGTACTAGTAGACAACATTAGGCAACATTGGGAAAAATTCATTGTGTTGGGCTTTATCATGCACAGTCAGTTATATCATGTAGCGCCTTCCTCTGAACAAGAAAGGGCCTTAGTTGTAGGACATGTTATTTTCCAATCCTTGACCCATTAGTATAATATCCACCCAGCCAACTGCAATTGAACTAGGTGCCTTCTAAGCCGGTGAGTTCGTATCAGCAAGTTTCTGTTCATTGAATTCCCTGATATATGACATGATACGTTTGTTGTTTATGAAGGTTTCTTGGCAATTTGCGTGAATGGCTGACTCTCACCAAAAGTGCTTCTGCGCACACTTGCACATCTACCTTCGCAGGCTGGAAGCTGCTTTGCAATAAATGGCTTTCAGTTCCGAACCATCGTGCGCGAGCGTTTTCCAACGGAAGGGCAGGTGCGACCTGTCTGTCCCTTGCCGAGTGCTAAAAGCAGCGATGCAGAAGCTGGTCAGCAAGTGGCTGGAAGGGGAAGCACCCGTTGAATTCACAGGATCGGCTGTATGTTCATGTGCAAGATGTTTGGAGTTGGTTCCTGTTTTCTTCGGGAAGAGCTAGTGTTGGCCCTCTAAACCGGAATCCCGCCCTCTCACTCATCGATCTGACATCTCACCTCTTACTGTACCCACCGACCCAAATCTCAGCTCAAAATCACCAATCCCAGCCACTTCGGGAATTGCCCATTGTCTTACGTTTGCTGTGTGCCACGCATACTCAGCCAGCGCACGTGCTTGTAGCTGCTCGGCGACTCATCGCCTGTCGGGAAAGGCCAGCCTAGCACTAGCTGCTGACGAATTCCCTGAGGTCAAAAAAGATGAGTTTGCTTGGTTGCTGTCTGTTTTGAGTTTTTGGTCAATAACTGCTTTAGAACTAGGCAGAACATGTTTTTGTTTTTTCGGTTTCCTGTTGCTTTTTCTTCATCGATGTTCTTTACAGCCTGCCAAAGGGGTTCCCGAAACAATACACGTGCCGATAGAGCCATATCTATATGTGTTTGTTGCTTTGTTATTCCCCCGTTTCTGCGTTGTGAAAAGTACAGCCACAAGGAACTTGAGGAGCCTTGTGCGAACTCATGAAAGCCACCTTGTATAAGATGAAGCTACTGCAGCCCTCCAAACAGTCGAATTTTGGGCGCTTCAAGGGGCTTCCGCCCATGTTGTTTTGCTGCCCCCGCAAAAGCCCACAGCTTGTTGGTTCGCATTTCTGCGCGCCCAAATCAATCTTGCAAAGTGGAAATCCGCGCCATGCTCCAGAATTCATAGCCCGCCCGAGCATAGCCGTGGTTGTTACCCATGTGGCATCTTGCTGTTTTTTTGCTGCTGGCACCCGCCATGGGCGGTGAGTGCGCAGCTTGGATGCAGCTATTGTCCAGCCTTGCTGCTTTGCATTTGGTATTTATAATACATACCTCAGGCCGCCGCAATGTGGGCCGCTTCGTACTTACTTTGCTGTGTCTGTGTGTGCGTGTTTGTGGTTGTGTGTTCTGTGTATTTGTGTGTTCTGTGTATTTGTGTGTTCTGTGAATTTGTGTGTTCTGTGTATTTGCGTGTGTTTGTGCGTCTGTGTGTCTGCCTGTGTCTGTGGTGTCTCTGAGTCTCTCTGTGTCTCTGTGTGTCTGCGTGTCTGTGTGTTTGTGTGTCCGTGTGTTTGTCTGTGTGTCTGTCGTTGGCTGTCTGTGTGTTTGTGGGTGTGTGTCTGTGCGTGTCTCTGTGTGTGTGTATCTGTGGGTCTCTGTTTGTGTGTGTGTGTGTGTGTGTCTGTGTGTTTGTGTGTGTGTGTGTCTGTGTGTTTGTGTGTGTGTCTGTCTGTGCGTCTCTATTTGTGTCTGTATGTGTGTCCGTGTGTCTCTCTGTGTGTCCGTGTGTCTCTCTGTTTGTGTGTGTCTGTCTCTGTCTGTGCATCGGTGTGTGTGCGTCGGTGTGTGTTTGTGTGTGTTTGTGTGTGTGTGTGTGTCTGCGTTATTCTGTGTGTGTGTGTTTTTAGTTTCTGTGTCTGTGTGGTTTGTGTGTCTGTCGTTGTCTCTGTATCTCTCCGTGTGTCACTCCGTGTGTCACTGCGTGTGTGTGTGTGTGTGTGTGGGTGTGGGTGTGGGTGTGGGTGTGGGTGTGGGTGTGTGGGTGTGTGTGGGTGTGTGTGGGTGTGTGTGGGTGTGGGTGGGTGTGGGTGTGTGTGGGTGTGTGTGGGTGTGTGTGGGTGTGTGTGGGTGTGTGTGGGTGTGTGTGGGTGTGTGTGGGTGTGTGTGGGTGTGTGTGGGTGTGTGTGGGTGTGTGTGGGTGTGTGTGGGTGTGTGTGGGTGTGTGTGGGTGTGTGTGGGTGTGTGTGGGTGTGTGTGGGTGTGTGTGGGTGTGTGTGGGTGTGTGTGGGTGTGTGTGGGTGTGTGTGGGTGTGTGTGTGTGTGTGTGTGTGGTGTGTGTGGGTGTGTGTGGGTGTGTGTGGTGTGTGTGGGTGTGTGTGTGTGTGTGTGTGTGTGTGTGTGTGTGTGTGTGTGTGTGTGTGTGTGTGTGTGTGTGTGTGTGTGTGTGTGTGTGTGTGTGTGTGTGTGTGTGTGTGTGTGTGTGTGTGTGTGTGTGTGTGTGTGTGTGTGTGTGTGTGTGTGTGTGTGTGTGTGTGTGTGTGGGTGTGTGTGTGTGTGTGTGTGTGTGTGTGTGTGTGTGTGTGTGTGTGTGTGTTGTGTGTGTGTGTGTGTGCTGTGTGTGTGTGTGTGTGTGTGGTGTGGTCTGTGTGTCTGTGTGTCTGTGTGTCTGTGTGTCTGTGTGTCTGTGTGTCTGTGTGTGTGTCTGTGTGTCTGTGTGTCTGTGTGTCTGTGTGTCTGTGTCTGTGTGTCTGTGTGTCTGTGTGTCTGTGTCTCTGTGTCTCTGTGTCTCTGTGTCTGTGTGTCTGTGTGTCTCTGTGTCTCTGTGTCTCTGTGTCTCTGTGTCTCTGTGTCTCTGTGTCTCTGTGTCTCTGTGTCTCTGTGTCTCTGTGTCTCTTGTGTCTCTTGTGTCTCTTGTGTCTCTTGTGTCTCTTGTGTCTCTTGTGTCTCTCTGTGTCTCTCTGTGTCTCTCTGTGGTCTCTCTGTGTCTCTCTGTGTCTCTCTGTGGTCTCTCTTGTCTCTTGTGTCTCTCTGTTCTCTCTGTAGTCTCGTCTCGTGTCTCTCTGTGTCTCCTCTGTGTCTTCTCTGTGCTCCTGTGTCTATCTGTGTTCTCTGTGTCTCTTGTGTTCTCTTGTGTCTCTCTGTGTGTTCCTCTGGTGTCTCTGCGTCTCTGGTCTCTGAGTGTCTGCGTCTTTGCGTCTCTGCGTCTCTGCGTCTTCTGCGTTCTGAAGTCTCTGCGTCCCTG